TATTATACATTATATATGTATATAGATTATTACTATTTACAAATAAGTTCTTAAACATATTTTCCTAAAACATAGAACAGTAACTAAAGAGGTAAAGCAAACAATTACCTCTTCTAGTCACAACCTTTGTACTCAGTTGCTGCTTGACGTAGGTTGCTAAGCCTTTAAATATTTTGCACGTGGAGGATATGAAACAAAATATTTTTTTAGGTTTTGTATATACATTTGAATAACTAAAAAATCATAAATTAACACATCAATACCATAGAATTCAGCTACAATTTATCAAGCTTCATAACTAAGATGTATTTTACTCTTAAAAAATATGAAATTTCAAGCAGACTAAAGTCGAAAGAAAGAAATGGCATCCTAAGAATTTAAAATGGCTGAGAAAGTCGTTAGAGGGATATTCTGAGGTTTCGATGGGTTATTCATGTCATATATAGAAGTAAGTGTATATAAGGGGCCCATTCCCACAAATAGAAAGAGGTGAGCGAGATGCTACTGTGTTTGATTTATTAGATGAGCAATATCTTAGCAAATAGAAAATATAAAACTTTCTTATTTTATATTCAAGCTTGTCAATATCTATAATTTGAGTTTCTAATTTGTACGAAACTATAGACTTAGTATTTTGACTTCACAAACATCTAATTTGAACCAGTGCTGCATTCAACATACCATGTGACACACAAAAATTGGTGTTTATCTATGTTGTATTTATATTTACTTTTAAATTAAGAAATTGAGTAATGTATAGTTCTACAATTTGAATTATAATCCACAATTTGATACCAAACTTATTGACATAAATTCATAAAATAGTAGTTCAATAAAATTTTGAATTCGAGTCAACAAACGAGATGACATGGCCTTTCACCTATGACCTGTCTCGAAAGGGTTAAAGGACACAAGTAAATGATAAGGAAAGGAATATACCTGAGTAGGAAATCCAGAAAGAAATTAGAAGAGTAAGGTCATACCTCTAATGGTAAAGAACTACACAAAGGAAATCAGGCTAAATTTGTAGTCCAATAAGCCATATCCAACTGAGGAGAAAGAACACTGGCTGATGGAACAGGTGTAGGAGGCCTAGTAAGCATTGAACAAAGGCTGGAATGTCCCCAATAGTTAATGAGCCTCTAGCAGTTATAGCAGAAATATAGCCTGTCTGTGTGTATATAACATCGTAATTCACACAGAACTAAGTAGAAGTCACCATCACTGTAGAATTCATGATAAGAATTAAAATTTTGGAAACAAAAGCTAAAGAAACCAAAAATCAAAGTTTCGTTAACAAGTGCAAATTGAATTGAAGCCAGACAAAATTTGAAGACATTTGTGTCATACAATGGTGAGGAAAAAAATTACATTATCATGAGTACAAGTGCATAGGGTGAGTTGCTGCACATGAAGGTTATGTTGACCTTTGATTTGTGGAGGGCTTTCATCACATGATGGTACCATGTACCAGCACATTCACATTAAACATAAATTTAGGTGGGAGTTACCTCAAGGCTAGTGACATGAAAATCTCATAGGCAAATGAGTGAGGAAGATAGCATTTGTATGTGCATCATCATGGAATAAATATGTCATGTGTTGTTGCAGTGCTCCTGTTATAATTAGACTATATTTTCCACCTAGAATCTATCACTGTTTGTTTTGGATATTTGTACAAAGTATGCCAAAGCCATCTGTACTAGCTGTCAATAATTTTAAGCCAATTGACTAGAGTAGAAGTTCAAAGCTGTTGTTTACAGACCACTCATGGTACATGGTCTTTCTCCAAGTGGCCTTCAGAAAGGTTTCATAATTGCAGAAAGATTGTTCTTCCTGAAATAAACCTGAAACTTGAGACATTAAAAATTAATGTACATAAACAGGTAGGATATGTATAAATTAAGTCGCTCATGAGTTAAAATGGGAAAATGTTTCTTTAGTTGGGAGTTTTCACACATTGTAAAATCATGAACTGCCTGCTGGTTTCTCTATGAAAGAAGTGCACTTGTTAGAGCTTTCTTGTGATGGAATATTAAAATCAGAGTTTAAAAAATAAATCTACTATTAGAATTTTGGATTCAGAGAAGTGGAAAGTATGCAGAACTTTGAGACAAAGCAATTCATTTTTTTAGCATTTGCAAGACAGTATTTTCATCACTTGTGACATTGATGTCCAAATACAAATGCAGAATGAATGCTGAAACTGATGAACATTACACCTAACATTATAGAACTTTTCTCACATAAACAGGCCTACTCTGTTACATTAAAACATAGAAAGGTAAATCTGTGGTAATATAATAGTGATTTTTATCTGATTGTTTTCTTTTGTTCAATTATACTGTTATCTTGTAAACTACTGAACCCACCCCAATTCATGTGGTCCATGAACAAGAAAAGGTTTGGGAACCATTAGTCTAGAGGGAAGGCTCATTGCTAGCACTCATTGCTAACTCTTGGGATATTCTAATTGAATAAAGGAAGTTGACCATTACCCTTATAATACATCTAAAGCCACAAACTGTGGTGTGCCATTTTGCAGCTGCAGGACACAAACCACGGACTTTTGAATTCACAGACTGTCATATTACTACAACAAGCCTGTTGCAGATCTATGAAGCACCATGTCACTATGTATCATCTTTTCCTTTCACTTATTATAGGACTGGCAAATGTTTGTTTATGCTTATATTTTAAGTTAATGATGTAGTTACCTAATCATTACTAAAAGCTTGACAGGTCAAATTCGGTCTATAACAAGGCAGAAATGTCCTTGTTCAGATTGTTAACAATAGACACTTTTAGATAAAAAAGTATTTTATTCTTAAAATAAACTTAAGTTTAGAAAAAAACTGAAGTTTATATTGAACTGCTTTTTCTTTAAACCTATTCAAATTACCAAAACTAAGTTTTCTTGTATCTTATCATTAAAATAATTATTGCAATAGTTCTCTCTGCAAGAAAGCAAACACCTCGAAAAAAATACTTCTTTATCTAAGGAAATCACTTACTTCATTAAAGGATTAAAATGGGTATGAAAGTAGTGTAACAAGTTCCTGATTTTACTGTTATAAATATGATTAGTTAATATGAGCAGAATTTAAACAACACAGTATGTACGAAATACATCATACTGGTAAATAACAATACATTTGTTGTTGGTGTTTTTGTAACATTTGTTATTTAATGTCATAAATTAAAAAAAATGCTTTGATACCAAGTTTTATGCTGTAACTATTTCAGTGTTAAAAACATAACAGAGATTAATCTGAGGATGCAATTTTTTTTTGTTTCCTGCTATTTTGAAAACCACAGTCCATGGAAGTGCAATAAATAATTTTGTTAATTTTCTTTTTTGTTGATGTTAATTATCTATTTGAAAGTAGAAGAATAAAACTTACCAGTTGAAGCCAGTTGTTTAGCTGATCTGCCATTGTAAATGCATCAGGAACATTGTCTCCTTCTGAACAATATAATAATAGGACCACCAAATGTACTTTTTTTGTTGAGCTTCATAAGGAGGAAAAAAACTAAAGATGTACAAAACTTTAACACATGCAAGTTTTTTCAATAAAAACAACTTAACACAACATTTGTTACTATTACTCTTTACCTTGCTACACTGACAAATGTTGGAACTGATACAAAAACTATGTGCCTGCTAACACACACTATATGCAACAGAACCTTTCAACTTACAAAAGAAAAGACAGATATAAAATACTCTAAAGTGGAGAAAATTATTATTTCATTTTTCAGGAATGCATGGTTTACCATTTGAACTAAAGGTCAATGTACTGTTAACAATAAAACAAAAATAAACTTTATTACGACTAATTATGCAAATTACTGACCAATGTTCTGAAGAAAACTGTCAGAAATCAGCATAATGAAAAGATATACCAAGTTTATGCATTTTTTTCAAGGAGTGAGGGAGAAAGAAGGTTGTTTTAAAAACACACATAGTGGGTATGATAAAACTATGTTTGTTGGATCCACAGTCATAGCATTTCACATGAAGATTGATAACATATCTTATCTTCATTCTTATGTTTTTTCACTTTAAACATATTATTAGATAAATAATTTTTTTTTAAATTTACCAAAATTATTTGTTAACAAATTTGTAGTTACTTACTCCTTAATAGGTCAACATTCAAAAATATTGCTAGTATATGTAATAAATAATGTAAATGTTAGACAACTATTTAGTACTGGTAACTTTTATATTAAAGAGCTTTGATTTACATAAAATTATAAGGCATAGGCAAAATTAATTATAACAGTGGGATTTATTGTTTTCTTTTCTAGAATATTCTGCTTTTGTTTTAACTTCACTTTTATATTATTTCTTAACAATTGTAGTAAACATAAATGATTTATAAAAGTAACAGCCATTATCAACAAGTTACTGGCTCGCCACTCTATCCCTCTTTAATATCATTCTGAGCCAACAATGCTATCAACTTCATTCACACTTAATTGTTCAGTTTTGCTAATTCCTTCTTCCTTATTTTCACTAGCTTCAATCAACTACTGCTCACAGTGTACTGATTTTGTTCTTGACTTTCAATCCAAACTATGGTTGGTTTCTTTTTCTTCTGTTCCTGGTTGAAATAGATCCAACACTCCACCTATATGTACCCAGTAAACTTGATCATCCAGTATATTTTTGCAGCAGTGAGAAAGGATGAGGACACTAACTTGTGGGTTGACAATGGCATTATGAAATACTCCTTCGTCTTAAATGAATTTTTAAGGCAATTCATAACAGATCCAAAATGTCCATAAGGTAAAGAAATCAGTTTTCCCACTTTCTAATTTAAATATGTCTAAGTACTTATTTTGGAATATGTTCCTTCTAGTAGAATTTTATGATTTGCTTAACTGTTTCTGTCAGGTTGCTTAGTTTTGAACTTGCAAGTAGATTCAGGCATGAGCTAGAGAGCCACAGATAATATGAGCATATTTCTCTCTTATGTAATGCCCATGCAGCCTTCAGCTTTTATTCAATAACCTAAAGGAAGCTAATTAAGGAATTCCATATTTGAAGTTTATTGAAGGATTTCCCTTCCCCATCAGTCCATTCATCTGCTATCAGTATCAATGAATCTATTTTAGCTATCTTCTTTTTGGCAATACCTTATATTATTTTGTACTCCTCATCTATGGGAGAATTTGGGAAATAAATTGTGACAAAAAAAGCATAAAGTAGTCTACAGAAATCTTTCTTCCAAAATATTTTATTAATGAAATTAGTGGTTGCAACTTGTAAACATACGTCTTCATCATATCCTTATATATCCCTGGGATGACATTACACAAAAGATTTTCAAAATGCATCTGGTAGTATGAGTAGTCTGGTGACCAGTTATCTTAATAGTGGTCAGAGTTACCCTGGAGTTATGGAATCATAAAACTATGCCATATTTACAGATTGAGAAAGACTGCTAGTCCTCCACAATTTCCTCTTTATCTTCCAACAAAATATGAAAACAAATTTTTCATTCAGTTCTTGGTAGTTAACTGATCTATGACTTCTTTTAAGCACTCAATCAGGTGCATGCTCATTATAAATAGTGACTCATATTATACTATTAGATTATATTTATTTAACATATAAGGAAGAAAAAATTTTATGCTGACAAAAATGGGAAAGAATTGTAAAGTAAAATATCAGTCTGTTCATACCAGATCAAATTGGAGAACTCAAAACACAGCAAGAAAAACTATTATAAAAAATATAATAAAATGTATATGTATTGATGTTTTCTTTACCTGAAAATTTATTCCAGATAAATACCTCTCTGTACCACAAAGCTATTATCTTGTGCACACTGCCATGTAGATTCCTGCACGTCACAAGCTTTAAATAAAGCTTTTACCCCTATACATCTCAAAATGTATTGCCCCAGCCTATTAGGTAATCATTATTAGATTATAGTCTTCCATCAATAGGAGTGCAACACATCCTCCACGTACAGTAATCTCCATGAGCAGTAGAGGTGTGTGGATCATTGCTATCAGGCACAATCATTTGGAATTAAGTCATATACTACAAAACAGTGTAATGGACTACTGCAACTAAAAACAGCAGGCATGAACCAGATATGAGGGCAGGGACACACACCTAGTGCTGTCATATTTTTTTTTGTTAAGTGCAGAAGGGGCTGTAAGGTATACACAGAGACTAATTAAGTAGAAAAATGTGAAGGTAATAAAATAAAGAAATTAGGCTTTTAGGGAAAATCATCTTTAAAAACTGGTTGTAATTTATTTACTAAGCGATTTTTTGAGCAAACACTCTTTTTCAAGCCAGAAATAAGCTTGTCGGTTAATGATAATTATTGGAACATCTTGAAATATAACAATACATGACAACAGTGTAACACAAGATAGTGCAATGAGAATTAAACAATGCAGTAAAAACAATATAATAAAGCTGGTGATTGAAAAACAGTATTAAAAATATAGAACAACTTTACACAGCAAAGAAAGAAATAACTTAAACATAAATATAATAAAAGAAGGGTATTTAAAAATTATAAAAAACTGATTATTCTCTTGAGCACTTTAAAGTTGTTCTATATTTCTGATAATTTTCAATACTGTTTTTAATCACCAGCTTTATTATACTGTTTTTACTACATTGTTTAATTCTTGTAGTTCTACTTCAACTTACATCCTGTTTACATGTACTGTTTCGTTTCAAAATGTTCTTGTAATTGTAATTTGCTCGAAACGAAACGTTGCCAAGTAAATCAATTACTATCATAGTTTTTAAAGGTGATTTTTCTCTAAAAATCTAAAGTTATATTTTTCTTACACTAAAATATATTTACAATAGGTACTTACCTCCTCTCACATAAATAGCTATTCTCATTCCGTGCTGCCCTCTATATGTGAAAGGAGGTAAGATCAGTGTTGTGGGTCATGGTGGAGGTAATTATAGATTGTTGCAGTTCTTTCCCTTCCACTATCCCTTGATGTTTCTTATTCCGAAGATGTTAATACCCTTGAGATGGTTCTGGTGAATTTCACTTTTGAGGGAGATGGTTTACATTATACATTATGTAGACATCTTTAAGAGACAGGATGCCGGTTTGCCAGATCGATCTATCAACTTATCATATTCACATGTGCCCCAATGATGAGTCGGAGGAGGGGGGGGGGGTACTTGATTCCCTCTGGCCTCATGAATTTGAGGTGAAGACAGTATGATCCTCTTTCCTACCCCCACCAGATGGCTGGGTTTTGGATTGTAGTTAACTTGCTACTGGTATGATCCTCTTTTCTACCCCCACATGGATGTTGGTACCCAGCAGCGGGGTTTTGGATTGTATTTGACTTACCAATGGTATGATCCTCATCTTACCCCCTCATGGATGTTGGTTCCCAGCAGCATGGGTTTTGGATGTAGTTGACTTGCCATATAAGGTACATTGTGCCCTAGCCATTCTACACTTAGGGGCACATCCTTATACTTTTACCCACTTTTATAATTTCTGGGATTTAGTTTCATAAATACTGCATGGTTCAGATCACTTTCTGTCCATAGTTCTCTCCCAATTGGATGTGCTCCATTGTTTTCTGCCCAGATATGCGACATCTTTCTATGATGGGCGAAGAGTATACCTGATTCAGAAGAGGTGCAGTACTCCACACCAGATCTTAGAATCTGACTGTGTCATCTTAAGGAGTGTCCTTTGGATGCTTCTTTCTCATAAATCTATTCATTTGTCAGTAATTTGTCCCAAATAAAGTTCATAAAGTCTTGGATTTTTATATTATGTTTTACTAAATAGTCTGAAAAACTAACTATACGTTTCTGCATTGAAAAAAATGGCTATGTTATTTTTTAGAAAACTTTCAATAAATCATATTTGCATCTATAATATTCCAACCTATCATCATAATGAAGGTGGACTACCCATTTTCTGGTCCTGTTATGAATATGCCCCCTGTCAGTGTAATAAGTCATAATTTGCAATTAGTACTCCTTTCCTTGTGTGGGAAGCTTTTAAAATATGAGAAACAAAAATGTTCTGGAAATTCTAAACACAAACAGCTATGTCAAATGCAACAACTTAGCAATGGTTTCAATTATATGCACTACATCTAGATGTTAAGCCAATATTATATATCAAACTGAGAACAAAGAACCAGGCGTGACTGAAATAAAATAAAATAATATTACATTAAATTTTTCAGAAGTTGTACCTATTACAAACAACTGCCACAAATGTAGGGAGAAAGTGCAAGATAGGAACACACATATAAAATATTTTCAACTGAAGAATTTAGAGGAACTTATTTCCTGTACCAATAATACAAATTTAAATTGAGTTGTTACATGAAATTATGAAGATAATTTATTAAAAAAAAACAGAAAAATGTTAAGTACAAGTATTAATTACCTTTATTACAGAAACATTGAAAGAACAGTAGGAGTATTACTGATATGCTTCAGTTTACTCAACTGACATCAAGCTTTTCTTTTAAACTAGCTAAGGAAATACATGCTGTTGATTCAAATATTTGACCATTAAGGAAGATGTAATGCCAACTTCAGAAGATAAAATTAAGTTACCACTTAAGTTTAAAAAGTGAAGAAATTTGGTAAAGCATTAGAAGCCAATAGGCCTAACATTTGTGTTGATCAGAGACAAAATAAGAGGAATGTGGAAAAAAACAAACACAGTTTATATGATTTCATTTTTATTTTACATTTCTGTTAATTTGAATAAGGAGAAGAAAATATATTTTTTTACTTAATGTGATGTATTATTAACCTATTTTATTACTGTCAAAAATCAATATTTTAAGCAATACTTACAAAGGCAATTTTTACATTTTAAAACTTACTATGAAGACTTGGATATAGTTATATATCCCTGTGGATATAGTTATCATTAACAATACTAGAAAATCAGAAGTGATGTGTTTAGCCCTATTCATACAGTTGGGTCAAAGTGTGCATGTCATGACCTTTTTACATAGTTACATTCAAAATTTAATTAAACAACATTATTATCAGTTTTTGTTAATCAACTTGGCATCAAAACATAGTTCATAATTCAACTTTTAATGTCATTTATGTTTTAATTTCACAAAGAAATATCCAAAAACTCAATCTTTACTCTTCTGTGTCACATGACATGTCAGCACTCTAACTTTTCCCCTTTAGATTTTATAACATGCAAGATCTGATAATGACGTCTGAAAGAAAATGTATAATTTTAATCAAGAATTTTCTCACAAAGTCTTTGGTATTGTATTCAGGATATTACTGTAACTATCAAATACAGATCTTTGGAAATATAATAACTTTGTACTATTTTGATCAGAGGAAATAATTCAAAGTTATAGGTTTTAACAGGTTTTTGCCTATTTTTAGCAAAAATTATGAAACAGAGGATGAAATTGAAATTACACACATGCATGTGTGTGTATATATATATATATATATATACTGTGTATATGTGTGTGTGTATCTGTATCTACACACTACAGTTATTTGCAACTAACTTCAATGTGTCATGTTTATTAGTCATTTGCTAGAACATACACAAAAACAATTCTGTTTCAAAATCTAATTTCGCTCAGCCTATTATAAGCTTCTTCATACATACCATTCTTCAAACAAACTTCTTGTTATTCCAGATCCAGGCATGTGAAGAACACCAGCTGAATCTTCATTGTAGGTAAAAGGGTCTCTTCTTTCCAAGGATCTCCACCCAAGACTGCTATGTAAGTAGGAACCCACAGATTCAGTTAGGTCAGGAGTGCACAGAAATTTTAATGGAATCCTGGAAATGGTTAAGGAAATAATTATTTGAGAGAGATAGTGAATGCATATGAAAATATTATTAAACATATGTAATGTCTATAAATCAACAATGATATCACAAATGGAATAACAAGAAGCTAATCCCATAAATACATCTGATTATGTGATTACCATCTCAACTGTCTCAGTAACATTTTTACATAAATGAAGTAAAAAAAGGAACTTAAAAGTAATCCTATTTAGAAACTGGGTACATACCATTCAAGACCAATAACCATAAAACATGCTGAAAGTAATTAACTATTAACAACAATGATCATGTTATGGTTAAGAAAGAAATTATTGAGCATTTCCATTATTTACATAGTAGATATGTTATCTCTTCCATAGATAACATAGCCAACAACTTTATTTTCATTTGTAAAAAGTTTCTTATTATAACTTTATGTGATGATTTGGGGTTTAATTAAAAAACATTAAGACCTTCAGGTAACGAGGTTTATAAGTATGTTCAAACCAATATAGAAAGTGTCACAAATAAACACAACTCAGATTTATTAGAGTTTGGTGTACAAGTCAGGCTGAATAGTAACCTGTATCAAGAGTGTGTCATGCTCCTACTGGTGGAGGGGTTGCTGCGTGTTTATTTGCATACACGTATACATTAGAACCACACTGAACATGGGGGAGGTGGGAGTTTCAAGGCTAATGGGCAGCATTTAACGAGTAAAGCTATTATGTAAGTGGAGGTAAGATACTGTATCGGAAATTACCATGTTTCGCATTATACGAATTATTGCAGGCCATATATTTTTTTACTTTATGATACATTTGTACATTTTGGCCAGCATATCTTTCAATAGCTACAGGATATTCCAATGGGAGATAACTTCAATCCACAAATTGCAAACTTGCATTTATTCAGATTTGAATTTTCATACATTACAAACCCTACAAAGACAAACTATAGTCATGCCTTGCACATCATTCACATTTGCAGACACAGATATTCTTTCACCAAATTATCAATATTTTTCTACACACAGCTGTGCAAACTTTTCCACCAGACCAAATTATAGAAAAAAAAAAGCTCTGCCACTAAAAAAAAACAACAACAGAATATCTGGATTTGGATATCGGTCTCATTAACTGAACATTCTAATTTAAAATCTTGAATAAAATGAAAACGTTAAACATTAAAGTTGTTAACTTTTCATTCCCAAGTACAAACATCTCAAATAAGTTATGTAATAATGTATGTTATTCTCAGCTATTCAATACAACAGAATTTGTTTACCATTACAAGATTTTAAAAATAGAACTCATAAATTCATTCTCATTTTTAATAATGAAGGTTTCTCATCGTGGAATTTAACACAAAATTCATTCAATTCTGTGGGCAATTCAACAGTATACTTGCTAGATTATGAGTTTAAAAGTTTTATAGAGTATCATCACCTTAGGATATTGTTTAGGGTAGTAATAAACAGCTCTAATATATTTACCACCATTGATTTTACCTTCCCTTTGTTACAGTTATTATTATATACGTAATTAATATTAGCTACATAACAGTTTCACATATCAAATTACATCAGTGATTTAGTTGCATCTGTTTTTATGATTACTTTATTTGTCATATCAACATCTGTTTTAATGTTCCTTAATAAACATACTTTTTATTGAACTTTCTACTTTCTATACACTCACCATTTGTCCTTTTCAGATTTTACAGAAAATTTAAGGTAATTTGTTTTTACTCTTTCAGCCAGCTCTTTGCATTGGTTTGTTACAAGAGATAACTGAAGAATGATTGATAAAGTTATTAGACACACACATAATATGTTTAGTATGTTGTTTTCATTGTAGTACTTTTAACATTGTTATATTTTCATGAACATTTTAGGTGTTATTATATTATTTTATATTTAGTACTTTGTATATTCATAAACATTAATTTTTGGTTGTACTACGGAGAATTACTACTAACTCGACACAGTTTAAACAGTAACATGTCTCATAAATTGTTCAGATGTCACTCACTTCTAATGTTAGACAGTAGGAGTGACTTAAGTTTTCTTTGATCAAAAGAAGTGCTAGAGAAAATACAGGCATGTTATAATAAGGTTGCATTTTCTACTACTATGACAGCAGTTCAAGCTGACAACCAGTATTTCTATCATCCCCAAGTAAGTTACCCTATATTATTTAGTTATTGTTATTTTCATTAGTAGTCTGGTTATACCTTTTAGTATATTGTGTAATATTGCAATTTTATTATATAGATTGTTTTGCACTGTTAGCTTAATATGTGTATTTTAGACTAAAAGTTTTAGGTTGTTTATTTTAGTATGGAACAAAATATTTTTAGTTATCAAATATAATATTTGGATTTGTTCATTTTAGCACAAAGCTACCAACAGGCACTCTGTCCTCCACATGGAATCAAACACAAGATTTTAGTGTCAAAAGTGTCATTAGGATATATTAAAATACAACTAAAAGCAAAATATAGCAATGAAAAACATTTAATTTCAATCATAAAGAAAGAATCTATAACCTAAAATTTACCAAACTTTATCAACCTATCAAAGTTAAAATTTCTTTCTTTGGTTAAATTTTTTTAATATTTGGTATAGTACATCCGAACTGTTTTTAAGGGCTTTCCAAAGCAATTCTAGACAGGATAATGTATAGCTCACATTTATATCGCAGGCATGAAGATGGCAGATTAGAGAAATTCTACAGTTTTAAGTTCCAAATTTTATTTAAAAATGTCTTTAATATAAAACTTATGAATTTACATTTATCTTTTGTTTTTTTAAACAACAGTCACTTCTTTCAACAATTAAATGCCATTGGTGTCAAGTATTTCTTAACTATACATTTAGGTGTAAAATTATAAGCACTAATGTGTAAAACACTGTTATTTGAAGTTAGTGAATGTTAACTTTAAGTTTCCATTTTTCCTGCCCCAGTAATGATGGATTTTATTAAGTACATACTAATACCCTTAAAACAAAAGTAAGATAATTGGCCAAAAAAGAGGAATTTTATATTGAGCATACTCATCTAGGAACACAAGATTTGAAAAAAACTTCACAAAATTATGGTGATATACTCAATGAAAATAATGTATATTAACAATTACATCCTTTTTTAATGACTTACAGAATCTTTCATACATTTTGTAATTTCTCGTACTAAAAGTTTTACGTCCATTCATATCAAAGTAAATCATTTTGACCCATCATATAATGGAACCTTTATATGATGATGAAAATATAGTTCTTAAATTTCTAATGATAGTTACACACAGTTACAGTGACTTCTCCATCATACTGCTCTTATCCATTTTTTAATACTAACAATTGTTTTACAAACAGATAGCTAAAGTATTTGAAAAAGTTACAGTTTAAAGTATCTGCAAGGTCAATGGTCAAAATAAATCAGTTAGTATCATTAAATGATATTGTAATTAAGGTATAACATGAGAGATCCCTTTTTAATGGATTATCTACAGGTTGCAATTTATAGTATCTACAAGCACACCACATTGGTTACCAGAGAATAACCATCAGTCATTTTCAAATAAAGTCATCATAACCCTGCCAGTCATCATTTGCAGGCTGTTGTTGCACTTAAAGACTGTGGTACAACTGCAGGCACTTGTTGCAGCTGGTCCTAAGGCAAGAGATATAGTACTGGCTGTTCAGCTCTTCCTGTCCTTCCCCCTTCCCTTCCACATCCCCTTCTCTGTCCTCAGTCTATGGCACTGGGAGGTGCTTGAAGAAACAGATGGCTGGACTTTACCTCGCTGATCTTTTCTTCTTACTTGTGTAGGGCCCCGAATATGTTGATGTGGAGAATACTGTGGAAGTCCCCAATTTCTGAGGACATCTGGTTCGTAATCACAAGCAGACTCATTACTGCTATCAGTATTGGAGCTTGGTAGGTATACATCATAACTGTCACTGTCATTCATTATAATATTTCATGCTTCATTAGCTCTGAATGCTTGCATCTGTGATGTGTACACCATTTTTAAATGTCCAAAATATTACAAAATTTTAAATTTTTTTGCAGTTGGGAGCTTTGTGATTACTAGTGATAAATAGCATGATTTTTAAAAACCACATAGAGGATTTTCCAAAACATTTACTTTCATTTGCTTGGAGACTACTTGGTATTACAAAACCAAGTGACAATATATTTTAGCTAAACAGACAAGGGATCATTGTTGAAAAATGTTGCTAACCATGCTGTGTTTATGTGTTAACTTTAACTCACTAGTTGCTCTATGTATAAACATTAGTTGCCCTGTGCACTAAAAGGTATAAAAAAATATTACCCTATTAATTACAAGTTACTTACAAAAAGATAAAAAAAATAATTAGAAAATTATACCAATATCACATTAAAATAATTACTTAACATGATAAAAAGTACTGCTGATACTCTAACCTTGGAGATATTCTTAAATAATAAAATGGCTATAATGTTACAATTTTCCTCCAAAATACTTATAACTGCAAAAGCTGAAAAACAAAAGCAAATGCTATAATATTTCTTAATTGTTTTCTTAAGTTATTTATTTTTGTTTTTGGTTTTTATGAAATAATTTTTATATATAAACAAAAGAGAAGCTATATACTTAAAACAAAATCCAACTCCTCACATCTTATAATTGTACTTAAAAAAAAAAAAAGTTGGTTTTTTCAAAGAGATAGCACAAAAGTATATATCTGTTATGTGTTCTTAAATTTTTATTAACAAGAGGAGCTCTTCAAGTCATTGTTGATTACTTATACTTCATATTTTCACTTCAAAAACAATGATGAATTGTGTGCAAGAACTTGTGAAGTGTGTTGAGTTGTAAATATGCAGGCATAACTCAACTGAATAAACTTTGTACATGATACACAAAATATTTTAGCATTTAAACATTACAGTAATTTTGTAAATTTTTCTGGCAATGAAATACTACAAAGTGTGTACTATTCACAAATATTATATATT